CTGTTCAGGTCTCAACACAACACGGCCGACCCTGGACGCCAGCCCAAGCTAAGGGGAAAGGAGCCTGGTGGTTCTCCAAGGGAAACAGTCTTACCATGTCCCTCGCCTGCTATGAACCCGTCCATGGCTCCCTATTGCCCTCAAAATAGTATAAAACACCTCCATGTGGCCTGAGACACTGCCTAACCTAGCTGTGATCTCATGGCCCCTAACTGTCCCCTTTGTTCCCTCGGCCAAGCCACACAGCACTTCCTGCCGTTGCCCCACCCGCCCCACGTGCCCTCCCCATCCAGGGCCCTTTTCTCCCAACTTCACCCAGACTTCCTCATCATTCGGGTCCTAGCGAACGTGGCCCTTCCTCGGAGGCCATCCTTGGCTCCCTCAGAGCAAGCCAGGGCCCCCTTTCGAAATGACTATATACTGAATTTTCTTAGGATTTGGTCACCGCCTGTATTCTTTCCCATGAGACCAGGCTCTCTGAGGGAAGAGATCACAGTTCTCTCCCAAGACAAGGCAGGACAGAGTTAAGAAAGTGGGTTCATATCCAGATGCCCAGCTGTGTAACTTTGGGTAAATTACTGAACCTCTCTGTGCCTTAGTTCGCCCGCCTGTGCAATGGGGATAAAAGCAGCAACCCCACACCCCCACCTTCTGGGGCACTGACCAGCTGAGGACAGCGCGTGCCGCCACTGGCCTGGCTCTGTGTCTCCATCACCATGATACCCACGTCCTGCTGAACAATTGGACACTCTGTCCTGGGTCACTCCATTCATGTCCAGGCATAGCTGGCTTTTCGGGTCTACTGATGCTCAGACTCAGAACCATCCTTCGGAGAGTTCTGGAGTCTTTCTCTTCCCTTCTGTTCCCACTGCCTGGGTGGAGGCCCTCGTCCCCTTGCATCAAACACCAAGCCAGGTCCCTGGCAGGCTGAACGTCCCTGGTCGTGCTCTGGTCAGGGAGCCAGCAGCTGAGCGGTCTGAGGCTCCCGGAGGCCGAGGGACCTGCCCATGGACACGCAGCTATGATTCACCGGAGACGGGGCCTGGCTACCACAAGAGAGAAGTGTCATGCTTAGCCAAAGGCTATAAGGTAAAAATCTTGGAACGTTATAAGAATCAGTGTAAAAGTGTAATGGGAAACGCAGCACAGCATGAAGCTAGACCATCGTCCCATAAGCACACACACGTGTGTCGGCAGTGAAATCCTACCATGAACCACGCACGTTCTTGGGCCGGGGGTGGCCTGGGGTGCCAGCCCTGCCCTCATCTCAGCCTGAGGACAGATGGCCTGCTTCTTGGGTGGCTCAGGTCAGAGGTAAAAGGCCTGGGTTTCAGGCGTGCTGGCGATGAGGTGCTGTCCTCAGGCCAGCCCAGGCCACAGCCAGCATCCTGTTCTGGGTCCCTGGAGCTGGGCTCGGGGGTGGAGGGACCACTTCCCGGCCCTGTTCCTGGGGTTCAGGGAGACCCTGGCCCAGCTACCCTGCACCCTCCCTGGGCCCCCAGCTACATCTGCAAAGTGAGGAAGGAGGGAGGGGAGGAGGGTAGAAAGGAGGGAGGGCAGGCTGGCCAAGTTAATAAAAACAAGGACTAGTTTTCTCTCTGTGTGCGCTCCCCCCGCCCCTGCCTTCCGAGGAGCTTCTGCTCCAGCTCATGGACTAGCAGGAATAGGGAAAACATACCCTGAAAGGCCCCTGCCCAGCTCTAGAGGTGAAGGCTGAGAGCCCTCCATCCTGGGCCCCATGAGAGTGTCCCCACCTCTCCCCTGACTCCAGAAGGGTCACAGGGGGCAGTGATGGTTGGTGGGATTTTAGGGAGTGCTATAGCTCATCTTAGATGGACGGGACCCCTTGCCAGCACTCCCACAGGGCCAAGGGAGACCGAGAGCCCCTGTCTCATCCTTCACTCCACGGGGCCCTCAGGGACCCTTGGGGACCCTTGGAGGGAGTCTAAAGAGGGTGAATGAGGGCAGGAGATGGAATCTGGGGCTGTGAGGGGCGGCTTCCCACTGTGCAGGGGAGGAAGGCCTGTGTGGACTCACTGAGAGGAAGCGGCTTGAGCCCAGTGTGGAATCCTGGCTTCGGGGGAACCCACCCCGTACTCTGTGAGAGCCCCCATCTCCCAGACGGCGGTCCCACATCCAGAACCGGGCATAGCGAGAGTGCAGGGCTGAGTGGAGCAGGTTACCTGCCTAAAGCCCAGGCTGCACTCACGGATCTGTATCCTGGCTTCCCGACTTTCTAGGTGGACAAGCTATTTGAGTCTTTCTGCCTCAGTTTCCTCCTCCGTAAAATAGGGACAGTGACAGACCTACCTCCCGGGGGGGGGGGGGACATCTGGTGCCTGCAGAGTCAGGGTCCCAACACGAGCTGTGACGACCACTGTGCCAGAAGGGCTCCTCCGGCTCACACCCTCAGTGCAGGTGCAGCCCTGGACATCCTTGGGTCTGCACACACTCAAGTGCACACAACAATGGGCACCACCTGCCCCAGACAAAGCCCTCCTGGGGCCAAGCTGAACCCGCTGGATTGCTGAATGACTCACCACCCCTGGCTGGAATGCACTTCCTGGAACAAGTCACCGCAGGTAAGCCTGGGGGCCCCCCTCCCGCTGGCTGGTAGACATGAGAGGGCGCAGGTCCCAGCATGCCCAGCCATACCCACGTGGGATCCTGCTGCAGGAGTGGGCAGGGGAACCCCAGTTTCAGAGGCCTGCGGGCCTGAGTTCCAACCCCAGCACTGAGTTCAGATATATGACTCTCTATCTCAGCCTTAGTCTCCACATCTAAATGGGGACACTAGTGCCAACCACATGGGGATAACAGCAGATCACAGCAAAAGACTGGGAAGTGCAAAGACCAAGGGCCCAACAGAACCCACTGTTAGAAGTCTTGCTGGAGGCCATGGGCAGTCCTCTGATTTTCCCCCGATGTACTTCTGAACATCGGTGGGCAGAGCACTGCGTGACTGGGTGGGTTCCTGTTTACCAAGGAACAGTCACCACAGCTCAAGGGAGAGGGGGACAGAGAAGCAGCTCCGGACTTCATCATTGTTGGATGACAGAAGGTAGCCTTTGTCTGGAGGTGGGGCAATCCCCAAGGGCTTCTCAGAGGATGTGGTGTTAACTTAGGCTCTAAAGGATTAATAGGAGTTTCAAGACCATGAGCTCTGGCGAGGCCACTGTCTGGCTGTTACTGGCCTTGGGCGAGTGACTCACCCGGAGGCAGGCAAGTGAGCAGCACATGCCTCAGGCAGGTGTAAGACAAATGGAGCAATGGGGTCCCCGCAGGGACTAGACAGGGAAGCCCAATCAGGTATCCCAATTCACACCATTGAAATAACATGGCCTGGCCAAAGAGAACGGAGTACACCAGCTAAACGCTGTTGGTGGGCTGCGAGAGCGTAGCTGCTGAAACCTTCCGGACTTCCACTGCACCTCCTATCCGGTCGGAATCACGGTCACGGCCAGTGCATGTGACAGCTGGGAAAGGTAAATGAATCCACACCCACGAAATGCCTAGAGCAGTGCCTGGAACACGGTCAACAAAGTGGAGATGTGCGGGCAGGCAGAGGGTCAGAGGAGCGGAGAGGGGACCCCCCAGGTAGACCCCAGGAACAGTGAGAGACCCTGCTGAGGGGCAGGACAGGGCAGCTGGCTGAGCTGTGAAGGGCAAGGCCCCAGAGACAGGTCAACCAGGGTCCAATCCTGCCTTGTCACACCGGGCTGTGTGGCCTCCCACAAGTCCCTTCCCCTCCCAGAACCTCAGTCTCCCCATCTGTAAAGCAGGGGGTGATGATAAAGGTCCTTCCTCCAGAGACTGGTCTGAGAAGAGGTGCCCCAGAAACCAGCAGACGGAGCACTTGGAAGAGACCTGACAGGAACCATGGTGACAATGACCGGAGGTGGCTTTGGGCGGGGTTTCTCAGACTTGGCACTACTCAGGTGCACAGCTAGAGAAGCCTCTGACATGGGGGGTCTTCCTGGATGGTGCAGAGTGTTTAACGGCACCCCTGGGTTCTTTCTTTTCTAAAAAAGATTTACTTACTTATTTGAGAGAGAATGAGAGCGTGTATACAGGGAGAAGCAGGCTCCCTGCTGAGCAGGGAGCCTGATGCAGGGCTCGATCCCAAGACACTGGGATCATGACCTGAGCCGAAGGCAGACACTTAACAGACTCAGCCACCGAGGTGCCCCATCGCCCCTGGTTTTTACCCAGTAGATGCCAGCAGCCCCCCCTACGCCACATCCAGCTCACAACCAAAATATCTCCAGACACTGCCCAGTGTCCCCTGGACTGGGAGGCCAGCAGATAACAAGTGGCAAAGACAGGTGTGTCTTAAACACTGAAGATCTCCACTGCAGAATCAGTCTGGCCTCAGTCTTCCCATTGGTAAAAGGGATAAAACGATAATTTCTTTGGGGTTGTAGGGAGGATCCCAAGGAAGCAGAGATGTGGAGGGAAGAGACCTCTGCAAGGTACAAAGGGCCACGAGCAGGCTGGCCCTCCATCCCCCAGCACCCCATGTCCCCAGCCCTCCACATCCCCAGCCCTCTACCACCTCGGCCCCTCTGGTCTGCTGGAGGCTAACTTGTGTCTTCAGGAGAAGGACCCATCCTGAGTTCTGAATGTCACCCTGAGCCTGTCCTTAGGGGTATAAAGACAGGACAGGAGGGCAGGTGTTGTCCTTGCTCACTGCAGTAATCCCAGAAGGACCACAGTGCTCAGTATACAGCAGGCGCTCAATGGTTGGATGAATAAGCGAGTGGTCACAGCACTGAAGCTCAAACCTCAGGGCAAGAAGAGTTACTCAAGGGAGGGACAGAGACACTCCAGCTGCCCAACCACCACCCGCCGCGGGCCCTGGGTCAGAGCACCCTCAGCCAGCCTTCCAGACGCCCGTTTCCTGTCTGTGGAAGTGAGATGTGCCCTTTGAACTCTCACTTCCTGAGCCCCTCTCCCCACTCTGGGGCCGGGGAGGAGGCAGGCGGTGGGGAGATACTCACGCTCCCGAAGGAGGGAAGCCCGGCGGAGCCCAGCCATCTCCGCAGAACCTGCGAGAAGGCCCCATGGTCCCGCTCGGCCCGAAGCACGTGGGCCTCCAGGAAGGAGACGTGGTGCCCAACCATCTTGACGAAGGCCTGGCGGAGAGAAGGGAGAGCCCGAGATGCCCCTGTTGCCACGGACTGGGGCACAGTCCCAGCCACACGGTCCCAGCCTGTGGAGAGGCCAGGCCCTCCCTCACGGTGGCCTGCGGGCTCCTGAGGAGGTCACCCAGGGCCCGCTCGGCAGGGGACATCCTCAGACACCCTGAATGTAGCAGTAACAGCTCCGCAGGAGGCCCGGCCACCTCTGTTATGTCCTCTCACCTTCTCCCCATGGGGACCCTAGTTTCAGCCTCTGTTTCATAGCAGAGGGACACTGAGGCTCAGAGAGGTCGGGTTGCCTGGCCAACAAGTGGCCGAGAGGGGACTCGGGGCACCTCCCCAGACCGCAAAGCCTTCTGTATTAGAAATGAGTTTTAGAAATTTCCAAAATGCTCACTTTCATAGTTGATGGCTTTCAGAATCTCACACTCAGAGGCCACACGGGGCAGGCAGGAGACTAGCAGGTGAAGGAGGGCGGAGGGGAGGCCAGGACGGCCCAGAAAGCTGGGTCCAGGCCCACGGGGGCCACTCCACGCAGGGCCTCTGACACAAAATTTCCAGTTGCAAAAAAGAGAGAGAGAGATGGAGAGGGAGGGAGAGAAGTCTGGGGTCAGACTTTGTGGATTAGAATCCAGGTTCCGCCACTTATTAATTGCATGCCTTCTGGCAATTTACTTAATTTCTACAAGCCTCAATTTCCTTATCCCTGAGACGGTGCTGATATTGCCGTCCTGACTATGAACAATAACAACCTTGCTAAGCAGTTAGGTGATCAGCAACACTGAGCTCGAGAAATGTCTGGTTTTGGGGTGCCTGGGTGGCTCAGTGGTTAAGGCCTCTGCCTTCGGCTCCGGTCATGATCCCAGGTTCCTGGGATCGAGCCCCGCATCAGGCTCTCTGCTCAGCAGGGAACCTGTTTCCCCCTCTCTCTCTGCCTGCCTCTCTGCCTACTTGTGAAATCTGTCTGTTAAATAAATAAATAAAATCTTTAAAAAAAAAAAAAAGAAAAAAGAAAAAAAACAAATGTCCGGGTTCGCTTTGAAAAAAAAATGTTGATTTTATGAGAAGTCTCCCGTTTTAATCCACGCTAGTAATAAATTCACAATTCAAAAAAAATAATACTGTACAGGCCCAGAAAAATTCAACCCACTCATCTGCCTCCTTTTTTTTGGTCTCTCTGCATGTCTTTCTCTACACTGAGCACACGTGTGTGTCTGTGTTCACGTGTGTGTGTGTTCATGTGTGTGTATATGTGTTCGTGTGTGTGCCTGTGTTTGCGTGTGCGTGTATTCACGTGTGTGGATGTGTTTGTGTGTTGTGTGCATACATGGCTAAGGCCACCGAAGGTAGCAACTCCAGAGCTGCGTCAGAAGAGCCTCACCTCTGTGGGCCTCCCTTAAACCACAGTAGACTGGAAGAGTTTCTCTCACCAGGGAGAAGGAGGAGGACACCTCAGGGCTGGGCCCTATGACGGAGCCTCCCTTCAGAAGAAGGAAGCTCATGGCCCCCAAGGCCTACAAGGAGCCCCCCATCCCCAGCCCTGCCCTCTCCTCCTCCTGCACAGCAGGCACACAGGCCTCCCTTGGGTTCCCTGAAAATGCAGGCCCCACTCGCCACAGGGCCCTTCCACATGCTCTCTCCAGGCTGGGCCCTGCTTTCTGTCCTTGGTGGGGTGAACACGGCCCCTCTCTCAGGCCCTGGCCTGACCGTCCCCTCCACAGAGAGGCCTGCCCTCACTGCCTCATCTACAACAGCCCCCGGCACTCTGGAGACCCCCAATGTCCCTGTCTTCTTAGCCCTCTTGAGCCCTTCCAAACTTCCTGTCTGCTGATTCATAACCCCTCTGCCTCTAGCATGTGGGTCCTGAAAGGTCAGGTGTGGAGTCCATGCTGTTTACGAGGCCAACCCTGGAGGCCGGTCAGCCTGCAGGGGCTCCGCTGGATGGTGGGGACGCGGAGGGGAGCATGTGCAAACGAGGGCGTCCCGAGCAAAAAAACGGTGTGGCACAGCTGCCACCCCAGGCTGCTGGTGGGGCCAGCTGAAAGGTCCAATGAGCCTCATGAGATCTCGGGGGGACGGGAGACAAGGGGTCCCGGGGCCTGGGAGCTGCCCCCCAGCCAAGAGGCATCAGCTTGTGAAACCCAGCACAGAGTCCTGTGGTGTCTGTCCTCCCTGTCCTCCCCGTGGTGACGCCAATGTGGTGGGGAGCGTGAGGGGACACCGAGGAATGCATGTTCCTGAGGCTGAAGGACCCGCCGGCCAGGGAGAGGCCCGACTCAGGGAGGCTCCAGCACAGGCGGGGCAGGGGCAGCAGGAGGGCAACCCCTTCATGACATCGGTCTGGGGGCTGCACCTTGGGAGTAGGGGGGACACCTACCTCGTCTTTTCTAGGATGAATACGTGCGACTTTCATTATCAGAAAGGAGGGAAGAAGGGAGGAAAGAGGAAACTCCCCCTGTTTCTGAACATACTGGTAAGTGCTGGTGGGCGTAAATACTTCTGACAAAAGGCCCCGGCTTCAGACCAGGGCACTGGCCAGCCGGGAGAGCCAACACTGGGCACAGGGGAGCAGTCGGGAGATGTCTGCTACCCCTAATTCTACCACCTCCCAGCTGTGTGACCGTGGGCAAACCACCTCCCCTCTCTGTGCCTCCCCTGCTTCCTCTCCCAAATAGGACCAATAACAGGGCTTGGCTCCTGGGGCTGCTGGCCGATAGAGTGCCTTCTCCCCAGGAAAGCACTCGGGGTTCCTGATTCGCAGCAGGTGCCCTATATGGACTCGTTTTTAATACTAAACCTGAGAAAGGCCCCAGTGCCTGCCTGAGGGGTCACCCTGTGGTCCCCAAGTCCCTCCTGGTAGGTGGCACTGATCTGAGCGCTGGTCCTGAGCTCCCTGGAAGGCCCTGACCCCCGCCCCACCCCCCAGACAGCCGGGGGTCCGTGGCCAACTGGGCAGAGTGGCGAGCAGCCGTCCCAGACCCTCTGCTCTTGGCCGGTGCCAACAACCAGCAGAACAGCAGTGGTCCTCACTGAGCACCTGAATGTCCCCCCAGTGAGGTCCACATCCTCATCCCCTGAACTTATGACTGGATCACCTTACAGGGCAAGAGGGACTTCGCGGAAGGGATGAAAGATCCTGAAATGCGGAGGCGATACTGGCTTGTCTGGGTAGGCCCCACGTCGTCACAGGGTCCTTGTCAGAGGGAACCAGGAGGGGCCGAGTAAAAGTGAGTCTGGAAGGAGCTACGTGTGGGGCGGAAGGAGAGGCAGAGGCTGTGGGCGGAGGAAAGCAGGCTGCCTCTGGGTGGTGGACGAGGCCGGGACACGGAGGCTCCCCGGAGCCTCCAAAAGGAACCGGCCCTGCTGACAGCCCAGTGTTAGCCTGTAAGACCCATTTTGGGTTTCCAGCCTCAGGAAGATCGTAAGCTACAAATCCGTGTTGTGTTAAGCCCTTAGGTTTGTGGTTATCTGTTACTGTTACAGCAGTGCTTTGAGGTTGGGTCTCTCCTGCTGGAGCAGGGCCAAGGACGGCACCTGTCTGTCTCACTGGGAGAGCCCCTCAGTGGCACACACTAGGTCCTCAGTATTAGTGGACTGACTGCCACGGGAAGAACTGGGCCAGCCTGAGGAGGAGAGAACCAGGGAGGGCTTCAAATCTTCACATTTTCTTTCCTCTGTCAAATGTGTGGAATAAAATTCAAATGAATCAGCTATTCCAAGGGCAAAGTTTTAATTATATTCCGGCCTCATCCTCTGCTGACAAGAAGTTTAACTCTCTGCTAACCCCAGGGTGGACTGCCATGTTCCTTTCCTCCATGGCTCGGGGGGTGCTCCCATCCCCTCTGTCCAGGCGACCACGATTAAGTGGCAAGCTCCTCCCAGCCTCCCGGGTTCTTTCCTGTGTAAGGATCCAGGACCCCAGGCGGAGCGGCCCAGGATGATGGAGAGCTTGGGCTCCAGCAGATGCCAACGAAAGTCTCAGCTTCAAGGCATCAGTGGGAGGACACCAGGAAAGTGGCTTCCCTCTTGGAGTTTATGCTCATCCTCTGGGAGATGGGACAGGGAGGGAGCCGACTTTGTAATGCAGCAAGGAGAAAAAGGAGATACCCTGAGGCTTAGCCTGGGGCTTTCACAAAAAGGAATGCAGGTGAGGTCAGTCAGCAGTGAGGCAACAGGGCATGGTGGGGACTGCGGTCAGCTGCGGGACACGGGCCCCACCTGAGGGGCGGCTGCCATTGGCTCCACAAAAACACAGCCCACAGCTTGGAAACGTTCTGCTTCTCAATGTGGGTCATCCTCATAGGGGAGTTTATGTGTGTAAAATTCACTGAGCCATACACTTACGATGTGTAGACTTTATGTATTTATACCTCAAGAAATAAACCTCGAAATTAAAGTATTTAAAGTATTTAAAGAAATGTGGGCTAAGTGCTATCCAAGCTTTGACTTTACAAAAGCAGCTTAAAAGTCAGATTTTTTTTTTTAAAGTACCCTGATTTTTAAGTGGGGTACTTTATATAAATTTGTATTTGTCGTATTTTTTAAAATAACATGTAAATGCAGACCCTCTTTTGCCACCAAGCCCCTGCACTGGGTCTCAACGCCTGACATTCTCGAGGCCAGATCAGCGTTTCAGAAGACAGGACAAAAGACCCAGAATGAGCCCACGGATCTCACAAAGAAAGCTCATGGTCCCGGACCCACCTCTAGCTGGTTCACTTTGGCATAGATGCCACGCATTTCTGTCACTTTGGCCTGAAGGAGCGGGATGTTTTCCTCCAAGATCTGTGAAGTGTCACTCCTGATCTACAAGAAACAAGACAGGTCATCAGGCCCCCTGCCCGGGTACCCCAGGCTCCTGCCCGCCGCTCGGCCCGCCGGGGTCTACCGAGACCTGGCGACGTCCTGCACGGGGATGGGCCCAGGAACAGCCCAGAGTCCCAGGTGGGGGCCAAGCCCACCGCCTCTCAGGCCCCAGACCTACCCAGCTGTTACTTACTGAACCACCAGTTGGTTCCCCCACAAACACCTGACGATACCAGTGCCCGACGGAAGGGCCCCGTTTTCTGAACCACTCAGCCGGAGCCAATGGAGAGAAGCCGAGTCTCTCCTCGGAACCCAAGTTGAGAGTTGTCACTGCACTGAAATTAACCGTACTAAGTCGATCGCGATTACTGACGTCCGTGAACAACGCGAATGGAAAGCGCAGCTCTCGTGGATCCAAGGGTGCCGTGTCTGTCCACGCCACGCCGAGCGTCCCCCACACACCGCATCTCATGTTGCTTCTGCTTGGAAGGGCTCCAAAGATGCCTATGACCTTTACAAAGCCACGTTTCCCTTGATCTCCGAAATCGGACACCTAGGCCTCGATTTTCTTCAAGAGCCAAAGGACCAAGCCTAACCCCTTGGCGTGAGAGAGAGAGAGAGAGAGAGAGAGAGAGACCGTCTCCACGTTAGCATCTCCTTTCGGAGCAGGGAGGCGGCGAAGCTCACTCTGGGATGCCAGGGAGCATCAGGGATCCCCCGAGGGAGACCCATCCGGTGCAGATTCCTGGGCCCCTCCCCGTCTGGGGTCAGCTGGGAATGTGTTTTCAGGCAAGTTCCAAAGCCGCGCTGGAGTCAGGGTGTGGCGGGGACCATCGGAGAACACCGGTGGGGACGCTAGGAGCTGGACGCAGGGCTAAGCCGGGTGTGTGAGTTCAGGTCTACCCACCGTGAGCTGTGCAACCGTGGCAAGTCACCGCACCCCTCTGAGCCCTGCTTTGCTTCTCTGGACGGGGAAGCAGTCGCGGTGGTCCTTGCTTCCTTGGCGTGCGGTGAGGAGCCAACGACTGGCAGGAGTGCCTGGTGCGGCTCGTGCAGGCAGCGCCCGACATGGTCCCCAGTGACTACTGCCTCCTGTGGGGTCCCCTCCCCTGGACCAGGAATCAGCCCTGGAGACTGACCTCTAACAGAGAGGACTCAGCCAAAAGGAGAGAGGTCACTCTGGAGACAAGGTTCCAGAAGATTGTCCCTCCAGCTTGCTGGCCTTCTCTCTCTCTCTCTTGCTCATGTGTGCTCCCTCTCTCCCCCATCTTCTTTCTCACCTGGCCTCTCCATTGCCAGCCAATTGCCATGGCAGAGAGGCTGCGTGGCTGGGGACAGAGGGCAGCCTCCAGCCACCTGCCTGTGCAGAATGGAGGCCACGCAACCGCTGTTGCTGCTACCCGCGGTCCTGCCCCGGGTGAACCGACACCTTGCCAGGAGCCCGCGTGAGCAGGACCCCACGGACCACCCGGCGCGGCTGCTTGGACTCCTGAGCACCCGGCGCTGCCAGGTAGTGAGGACCGAGAGTTTTGGGACAGTGTGTTACCCAGCAGGAAATAACAAACACAGCGATAACTCAGTACATTTTTTTTTTAATTTCAGAAATGAATTTCAGAAATTAATTCTGAAATTTCAGAAATAATTGGAAAACTGTTTTTTTCCCTCCTTTTCCTGCCTAAATGTATGAAGCTTCTTGTGGTCCTCCTAGAATTCTGCTCCTGTCGCCCTGCGGGATGACGCTCCCCACCCCATTCCCTGGGTCTCAGAAGCGACCCCATCCCCTGAGTGTCCAAAACCAAACTCTCCCCTCCTGGCTCCCCTCCTCTGGGGGGGACCTCACAGAGCTGCCATCTCCCTGGGCACCTGGCTCCAAGTCACTGTCCTGGGTACACCCCTGTCCCACGCTCTGGCCCCACAAGGGCACAGACAGGCATCCAGCGTCATGCCACCTGGCCTGTCTCAGCCCTTACCTCCCTGTGCCTTGGTTTCCTAGTCTATGAGATGGGGACCATACAAGTACTTCTCTTGAAAGAATGCTCTGGAGGTTAAACGAGACCATCTCTGACTGGGTGGGGCCCACACATGCACCTTGTACGGCTCGCAAATTGTCTGAGTTTTTTTAATTTGACTTAATTTCTGACTTTAAGAGTCAAGAGAGGTTCTTAGGAGAAATGGCGGATTCTAGAGCTGGGGTAGGCAAGACAAGCCCCTGGAGAATCTTCTAGTGCCAGAATGTATGTGATCGTTGTTTGTTTGTTTGTTTGTTTTTATTTATTTATTTGACAGAGAGATCACAAGTAGACGGAGAGGCAGGCAGAGAGAGAGAGAGAGAGAGAGAGAGAGAGGGAAGCAGGCTCCCTGCCAAGCAGAGAGCCCGATGCGGGACTCGATCCCAGGACCCTGAGATCATGACCTGAGCCGAAGGCAGCGGCTTAACCCACTGAGCCACCCAGGCACCCGATCGTTGTTTGTTTTTAAACTTTTTTTTCCTTAGGTTATGGCTACACCCAGAGTGAGACTCAAACTCATGACCCTGAGCTCCAGAGTCGCCAGTGGTCCACAGGCAACCAGGGCCAGCCAGGCGCTCTGTAAGGGAGCGTCTGCAAAGATAAAGGACGGGGCTTGTCAACAAAGGATCACAGGAGCCAACCAGAAAGACCAAATGACAGAAGCTGGAATTATCAGGAGAACAGAAAATGTAAGGCCATATGGGATTAGAACCCGAAGGACAAGATGAAACCATGCGAGTCTGTCAGGAAGAAACGATGGGACACAAGCTACAGGAAGGGGACCACGGGGGCCATGTGCCCCTCATGATGCCACAAGAAGGCCCCTTAGCTCAGCGGATTCTCTCCAGAAACCTGCCACCCCTGTCCAACCACTGGTAAAATAATAGACAAAGCCAAGCTAAGGGTCTTCTACGAAATATCTGACCAGAGCTCCGCAAAATGGTCAAGGTCATGAGATGCCGGGAAAGACAGAAAAGTCACGGAGGAGGAGACCACGTGGAGGGGACGACTGAAAGCAATGTGGGATCCTGGACAAGAAAGAGGGCATTTGTGGGGAGCCTGCAAAAGGAAAATCAAGACGCCCCTGCTGGTTTCTCAGTTCCAGCAAAGGAGCTATGGCCATGCGAGTTGCTAGCCCTGGGGCGGGGTGGGGGGGTGGACGGGGAGAGGCAGGGGGAGCCGGTGTGTGGGAACCCTCTGTACCATCCTTGCACGCTTCCTATAAATCTAAAACTATTGCAAAACAAAACATATAAACATGGCTTTAAAATGCTCCAGTGATTAAGCACGGTTTTACAAGGTGTCTTAAAAGTCTGCCCCGTGGCAACACTGGGCCTACGTCTCCCAGGCACGGAGGGGTGGGCTGAGCAGGGGCTGCTCCCCCCAGAGGTGGGGCACGAGCTCTCTGGGACACAGTCACCATCCCTCCCTAATGCCTCACCCCCAAACCCCTTCACTCGGGTCCAGATCCTGCCTGGCTCCCACGGGCACCTGCATTTTTTACCCTGGTTGGGGGGAAGTCCTCACTATGCTCCTTTTCTTCCCCCAAGACCAAATCTCTAGAGACATACCCATTTCCCCCCTGCCCCCCCCAACAAGGCTAAACTGGAGAAATCACCAAGGTTCAATGATGCAACAAAGAGCAGATAACTCACGGCAGGGTCAGAACATGGTGGACCAAACGCAAATCTTTTCTTTCTGCTACTTTCTAGAGAAACGAGTAGGGTGAGAACAAAGAAAATCAGGAGGTCTGGTCCTAGTGACCCACCCACCGGAGAGAAGGGATGGTGCAGAGAGGAGATTCACGGAGCTCATCCCTCCCCTCCGCCAGCTCTGAAGGAAGCCAGGGAAGAGAGGGTCTGGGCCAGCCAAGAAGGCCCCTCTCTGAAGACACCTGTTCACGGGACTCGTGGGCAATGGGGAGCCAGCTACACCCGCCCGGATGGCAGGCTGCATGTGTGTGGGGGAAAATAGAGAGTAATCCTCAGGGTCTGAACGGCCCCCAAACATTTCTTGTGGCTCCCCTGTGAGCTGGGAACTGGAAGGTGAAAATAAGGGTTGGAGGGGCACCACGCCAGCGCTCCACAAACCTTCACCACATGCTGAGAACGGGTCCTGTGACTCAGAACCGATTTTATCTTCAACCTTTCCTGGCTGAGGACAAAGCAAAGACAGGAAGACAAAATGAGCCGGCCCAAGGTCACAGGCTACCATGCAGGAGATGGCAGGTTCCTATCCTGCTTGGTCTGAGGCTATCGGTGACATCAGAGGTCCACACGCATGTTCTGCAGGGCCTTGTGGAGACAGCCCACGTCACGTCTGAAAAAACCAAAGTGCACCCACACCAGGCGCCAAAAGCAGAGGACCTGGCCATCCTGGGTCCATGTCCCATGTGACAGCAATCACCTGGAGCTGGGTGACAGCTGTCTCCTTTGGTTATCCGTCCCCACCACTCCCTAGAGTCTCCCCGGTGTCTGTGGCCACCCCGTGTGTTCTCTTCTTATAGGGGAGTCAAAGGAAAGCAAGACGTTTCTGTCCTCACGCCCACTTCACACACTCATGTCACACGCATCTGAGCAAAGAGAGGTCAGCGAAGAGCCAATGTGGGTTGAGCCTCTGCCAGGATGAACCCCTGGCCAGGCTGACCGGCCTGAGCACCCAGCGACCCTTCTCCAGCCTGTTCTCCCACCTCCCCGGAGCTGGCCAGCGGACACGGGGGTTCTCACTGAGCAAAGACGGCTGTCCAGGATGATTCAGGGTCTCCAGGAAGGACAGCCAAGTGCACTTGACCCAAGAACTCCCACCAATGCCAAATGGAAGTACTGGCCCAAGGCCAACAAGGAATTTTCTCCATCCACGTGAGCAAAGCAAGAGCCAGCTCCCTGCCAGGGAGGGAGGGCCCAGACAAGGGGCCCAAGCTCCAGAGGGCACTGAGCTGAAGGCCGTACACATCCTCCTGGGTGTCACGACCTTCTGCTGCTCTGGTGATGACGACGGTGACCTTGGGAGCCACCACACGTGGGTCACCTCTTACAGACCTGGCACCTGGCTAAGCAGTTATTTTTAACTGAACATAGGAAATGACGGCCAGCGAAGGGCCCGGGCCTCAAGCAGACGGCGGGGTGAACGAGTACGTGTGTCCACATCTGTGCCGGCCCCACCCCGGCCAACGTGTCGGACGTCCCGTCACGGGAGAGGTTGCAGTCACGACCGCCCTCCTGGGGCGAACCACGACCCAGCTTCTGACACCAGGTGTTCCGTGTCTGACTCCTTCCCCTGCTTCACGTTCAGGAGAGGCACCCACGGCATTCGGGCCACTTCACTCTTCTGCATTAAGGTTGCTTCCAGTGTCACCTGGGTGGCTCAGTGGGTTAAGCCTCTGCCTTTGGCTCAGGTCATGACCTCAGGGTCCTGGGATCGAGCCCCACATTGGGCTCTCTGCTCAGCAGGGAGCCTGCTTCCTCCTCTCTCTCTGCCTGCCTCTCTGCCTACTTGTGATCTCTCTGTGTCAAATAAATAAATGAAATCTTAAAAAAAAAGAAAAAAGGTTGTTTCTGGTTTGGGGCATCATGAACAAGGCGGCTCGGAACACTCGTGTGCGGGTCTTTGCAGACTCTCATTTTCATCTCTCGGGTAAGCACCTCGCGCTGCAGCTGCTGGGACCGACGTAGGGTCAGCGCACGTGTGACTTGGTAAGAATCTGCCAGACTGTTTCCCAAGGGGCCAGGCCGTTTTGCGCTTCCACCGACGCGTGAGCGGGTGTCTCTGGGCTCCGCGCTCGCCCACACTTGGTACTGTCGGTCTTTGTTGTTGTAACGGGCACATCCCCGCCTCATCGAGTCCGCGCCGTAACTCTTAGGAGAAGGACATGATTTGCAGATTAAAGAGGGCTACAAATTCTTTCCATTCCTTCCACGGACACAGGGGTCTGGGACCTCTCCCCTGGATCTGGGTGTGCTACCTGACGGTTTCGACCAGTAAAACAGGACAAAAGTGAGACTGTGTCAATTTCCATCCCGAGCCCTCCAGAGAACTGGCAGATTCTACTTCCCATCTGTCGGAACGCTTGCTGCGGGAGGCGGGATGCCCCGCTGCAGGAGCCCGAGCTAGCCCCGAGGAGAGGCTGCACGGGGACAAGTGACACCAGCCTGTCCCCAGCCACCCAGCATTCCTAGCCCAGACGTCACAAGCAAGAGAAGGAGCCACCTTGGAAATCCCTGCCCCAGCAGGTGGCATGTGGCTTGGATGAACCGTCCCCTCTGTGCCCTGCCCTGGCCCGCATAATACATTGGTTGTTGATTGACACCTCTAAGTTTTGGGGTAGTGTGATGCATTATGGACCATTATGTCCATTTTACAGAAGGGAAAAGAAAGGCACCAAGAGGGGACATGCTACGCCTAAGGCCCCAGAGCAGGAAGAGTCAGAGCTCAAAGTGGCAGTGACTAGCATTATATCTAAGGTCTAAAGAGGTGGCAGGCGCAGGGCCATGAATTCCAGCCACACAGAGTGGTCAGGGACAGGCTGACCGTGGAGCTAATGCGTCCGACAGGAAGCCAGACTCTTGCTTCTAAGAGCCTGATTTGATCGGAAACAGAGCTGCTTCTCTCTGGACTGTGCAGGGAGCCTGGCGTCTCTCAGATTTCTAATGTGATCAGTGTTTCCAAAGGCCAACGCAGGGACCCAGGGGACAGTGTCCGTGTTGTGACATCACCTGCTCCCCCGAGGTCCCCACTTATTCCTAGCTTGGATCAAAAGAGAGAAGGAGGTCCCAAGCCAAGGCTGAGAGCTGGACGCCTTTCTCTGTGCCATGTGGACAGACACTCGAGGTAAACTGAGCCTCACCCGTTGGGGCAGGAGGATTTCCATAATCGAAATGGCGTCAGCACTGAGCATTGCGGCAGAGGCCAAAAAAAGCATCATACCTGACATGTTCTCTTAATGCAGGCACACTTGTTTACATATAAACTCATGAAATGGTCTTCCCTCCCATGGGAAACCCACTCTCTTCCCTTTCTTGAAACACGGGACCCTCTTGGTCTGGTTTCATTTTTTGGCTTTCAGTAGGGCCCAAAGTACAGAGAAACATACTCTGCCATAAAACGCACAAGCACGTGACGGATGTACCTGGCAGGTGGCCATGGAGTCGGGGAGCCGCCATAGGAACCGTGGACGGTGACCAGCTGGAGAGCTCACATGCTGTCCACAGTGGGGAGGACACTAAGCCACCCTTGCTGATGCTGGGCAGGTGGGACCAAGCACACCCCAAGGGAGCCAGATCTTTGCTCTTCCAAAAGAAGCCAGAAATCCTGATTTTTTTGCATGACATTCTATAAATGTCAGCAGCAAATTCCTTTTTCTTTTCCTTCCAGAAACATCCAACATATCTGCAGGTGGGACTGGGTCCATGGGTCGTGTGTGATCTCAGTCTTAAAATCTTTGTATAAATGTATCTCCAGGCTTCTGGTTAGGGGTGGGCCTTGTCAGCGCTGCCTGACACCTTTGCCTCCAGGTGACACACACACAGGCTCCCCCCTGCCACACCAGGAAGCCGTGACAGTTTCTAAGGCAGGGTGGCCGAGCACCTCTGCCCATCCAGGTTGACTCCTGCTCCAAGCTCTCCCCTCAGGCAGGGAGTGGGTCTCCTTTCAAGGGGCAGGATGGCTGAACTAGAGAACAAAGTGTCCCTAGGTCACCAGTCCACCCATCTTCCAGATCCACCCCCTGCCTGTGGGTCCCCATGGTCCACACTGTGCCAGCACACCATACCCACGGGTCAGTGCCTCTGCCTGGATATTCGCCCTCCCCAGCGGCTGAATTCTTTCTGTTCCTTCTTCAAGCCCCAAATTAATCACCACCTGTTCGACAAAGCTTTCCCAATTTTCCAGGCAGAATTTAACGCCTCTGCTCTTCTACTTCTTCTTCTTCTTTTTTTTTTAAAAGCAAATTAAGTCATAGGATCATATGCCCAGTTCCTTCTAGACCCTCTTCTCCCTCTTCAAAACCTCTGCAGTCTCCCTTTGTACCTTGAACACAGCTTCAGGCTGGTGCCTCAACTCTAGGTGACAGCCCTGGTCACACGGGGGACTCCTGCAGCAGGGGGGATGGGAGACAGAGCTGAATCTTTCTTTAATCTCAGGTTCACCAAGGAGCCCAGTCAGGGAAGGTGTCCAATGGCTGGTGATGAAGGAAGGACTGTCCGGGCTGTTTAAAGTCTGTCTCAGGGCGCCTGGGTGACTCACTGGGTCAGTGGGACCTGCCTTTGGCTCAGGTCGTGATCTCAGGGTCCTGGGATCAAGTCCCAGGTCAGGCTCCCTGCCCAGCAGGAAGTCTGCTTCTCCCTCTCCCCCTGCTTCTCCCCCTGCCCGTGTGCTCTCTCTCTTTCTCTCCCTAATAAATAAATAAAATCTAAATAAATCAATCAATAAAGTCTGTCTCACTACCAGGCTCCCACCTGGACCCACACCCAAACTAGGAAATTGGTTCTCAAGAGAGAAACACATACAGGTCCTCTTGGGGATGTTTCTGTCTTGTTCACAGCTGTGTCCCCAGAGGGCGGCATGAGGTAGGTCTGTTGAATGAATGGGGATGACACGGCGCCCATCGTCTCACTCTGCTTCGAGGAGAAATGGGGTGACACGGAAAAATGCTTCGCATCATGCCCGGCACCAAGTACGTCCGAGGCTGCTGTTACTGTTACACCCTTGGGCTCTCACAAACACTTCCCCAGACACCTGCTTCACGGGGGCACAAATCTACCCCACTGGGTCCAGCCGGGCTTCCTCTGCTCTGGGGACAGGCAGGGCCTCACCACAATATGGAACTCTGCCCTTTGGGCCATTGGGCAGAAGCCTTCAACCCAGGGTGCTGAAAGTTTCTAGAAAATTCTATCATTGCTCCTCAGGGCCCCACACCTGGCTGGCTACCATCCTGGGGACACAAGGATCTAGAGATTTTTACAGAATTTGGAGTGGAGACCTTGTCTTCTGGGCCTAAGGCACCATCTTCCATCTTCTCCACCAGCCAAGGGGATTTGATCCAACAGAACAGAGTAGGAGGCAAATGCGAAGAGAGCAAGAGGATTCGGGAAGGAACCTGATGTCCACCCCTGCCTCGGGCTACAGCCTGGGCTGGAGGGTCCTCTAGGCCCTGCAGGCCTGAAGCCATTTCCTGGCTGTCTCCATGTTTGCCTGGCGGACCAGCAGAGCCGAGGAAAGTTAAATATAGTCTTAGCATCCCCGCTGAACGGCTCCCTGCATCGGTGCCCGAGAGTGCCACCTGGTGGCCCACTCCAGGCTCCTCGGTGGAATAAGAGCCATCTGGGGGGGATGGGCGTTATCAAGATGGCCGCCTCAGGAAGCCTTGGTGTTGAGAGAGAGCGAGAGAGTGTGAGAGAGTGTGTGTGTGGCTTTCCTCTCACCGCTGGCTGCTGCCCCATTCCTTCTGGTTGCTAAATCACCACCAAAATGGCTTCCCCAGAAAACCCCAGGAAGGGCCTGGAGTCTGGCCTGGGCCTAAATCCACGCCTCTCAGGCAGGCACTCACCATGTCAGTCAGGCTGCAGAACTCTTCCAGCCTGAGGAGCATCCCCTCGATGGTCTCCTCCACCTCCTTCGCCTGAAAAGAGACAATATTCTGGAGATTAGCAAGTGGTTTCCAGGGAGACAAACGCCCTTCACTTTTTTTTTTTTTTAAAGCAAACTAAATCTTAGGATTATCTGCCCAGTTCCCTTCAGACCTCCCTTCCCTTTTCAAAATCTCTCCTAGCCTCATTTAAAATCGTGATAAGCTGGCGGCAATCTTGACGCCCCTGGACAGAGGCCTGGTTAAAGCCACCACCGGCCATCCACTCCGTGCAGATGTCACAAGGAAGGAGCTGAGTGAAAACTAGCAGGAAGCAGGACAAAGCTACCTGCATCATCTCATTGTTCAGATGAGGAAACTGAGCCTCAGGGGTGAGGGAAGCCTGTTCAAGGTCACACAGGTAACAGGTGGGGGGCCCAGGATTCCCACTGGGCTTGAGTCCACAGCCTCAAAGGTCTTACACACTGTGAGAAACGCCCCCTAACAAATACTATGGAGAGCTCACAAAAGATGCAGAAGAGATGGAAATAGAAACCCATCCTCGTAACAACGCACGAAGGACACACGTGGTTTACCAGAAAGGCCTGGAACCATACAGACCAAACTGCTAATAATTAGGAAATGAACTTCCACTAAACGATCATTCAATCTGAAATTCAAATTGAACTGGGCGTCCCCTACTTTATTTGGCAACCTGTTAATGGCTCGTCCTTGGCCCTGGGGAGTAGGAATTGGGGAACAGGGTCTGACAAGGGAGCCTCGAGTGCTTTATGTTATCCGAAGGGTCTAAACCTTGAGGTACCGGGGCTGGGGAATTACATCATGAGTGACATCAAGGAGTAAAGCAGGCCTCCGGGGCTTTGCAGTGATCTGAAAAGTGCTTGCCCAAATCTAGAACAGCCAGCAGCCATCAGTAAACACAGACTCGGGGCTGTGTTTTTCAAGAGAAGCCAGGAATCCTAATGTTATGGAAATTGTCCCATTTTTTAAAAAAGATTTTATTTATTTACTTGACAGAGAGAGAGAGAGATCACAAGTAGGCACAGAGGCAGGAAGGGTGGGGGGTTGGGGGGGGAAGAAGGCTCCCTGCTGAGCAGAGAACCCAATGCGGGGCTCGACCCCAGGACCCTGGGATCATGACCTGAGTCGAAGGCAGATGCTTAATGACTGAGCCACCCAGGCACCCCAAATGTCCCAATTTTTAAATGGCAGCACGGGTTCATGTCCTGCCAAGCATGGGCCAATCTGAACATGACTGTGGAAGGGTCTTCCAGTCTACACCCCGTTCAAATCACTTGTGCAAAAATCAGCCTGAACCTTTTTTATCCCTCCTCAAGTATGTACCATGTTCACGACTTCTAAAATACCAGTTTTTTGGTTTTGTTTTGTTTCTGTAACGACGAGGCCTTTGGGAAGAAAGTGCGCCGAGAACGTAAGCCACCTGCTCGGCTCACTGGGCCAGACCCTTCTGCTCCAGAAAGGCGACCCCAGACACTTCTGGGCAGGCCTGGTCCCAGCACCCTGACACCTGAAGGCTCCCCTCATTGCCCACTCGTCCTGGCAGAGAGGCTGACGCCCCACCAGGGCCCGCTGCTTGTGGCAGGAGCCGTCGCTACCACAACAAAATAAATGGCTGTGCAAAAAAAAAAAAAAAAAAACACACAACATCTTTCCGGCTGGAGTAAAAATAGTACCAAGTTGCAATTTTAAACTCTGGCACCTTCGTCTCACAGCTGGGACTATTTCTGTGCCTGCATGGGGGAGGCTCGACAGGGAAGGGGACCACAGCGGAGGGAGGACTGAGAGGCAAAAGGAAGTTCTCTCCATCCCCCAAAAAGTAAAATCATAGGAAAAAAAGCTCTTATTGTGCTAAGGAGGGAAGAAGGAGGCAAGAGGCCATAGACATGGGAGACAGGAAGGTTGGGCGCTTCCTTCTGCTGGCAGAGGGAGGGATGAGACGGGAGAAGGGCACAGACGGGCGGGGGAGGCTCCCTCCAGAGTGCAGGTGCAGACGCCCCAGACCCCAGACCCGCTGAGGAAGGCAACACCAGCAGAGGGACGTGGACGCCCCCGCCCCAGCTGGATGGGCCTCCTCCTTCCCCAGCGGGGCCCGAAGCTTTTTCCTCAGAGGCAGCACATCTCACCCTACCCGGGTGTGTTCTGAGAGGAGGTCAGTCCACCCCGGGTTCAAATCCCATCTTCTCTTGGGCCAACCGTGGGACCTGAATTCAAGGGTTTGACTTCTGCCTTTTGGTGGGCTCCCCTGTGACAGCAACCGCCACACCCGTCGGGCAGGGTTGTTAGGAGGTTACCCTCACATAATGCACACGGTAGGTGCTATTAGGTGGCCACTTTACGTATCTCTCTCACTAGACAATAAAAAACAACGGCTAAGCGCTGTATGTGGATTCTTTCCCTTGATTCTCACAAGAACTCTGTACAGCAGGGGCTAGACCTTCCCCCTGTTTATGGACTGGGAAACAGATGACCGGAGAGCTTAAGTCACTCACTCAAGGTCACACAGCTAATAAAGTCTGAAGCCAGATTTGACCCTGAGCACTCCGAGTGCAGAGCTGAGGTCTGTCACTACCAGAGGCTCTTTGGAGACTGGCAAAAGTGTCCCCTTTATGGCTGCCTGTCAGCTACGGTCTCTGTCCCCCACCACTCCCCCCACCTCCTGGGGCAGGGCCCCAAAGCAGGAGAGAGCCCAGAAGGCATTTTCTGACTGGCCAGCTGAGGAGGAACAGGCCGGAGACATTCCCAACCAACAGGAAGGAGCTTGGGATTAGCCAACCCGCCATGCCCACAAATCATTCATAGGACAATTTTCTCTCGAGATAATCCCCTAAGTGGCCTCAGAAATGAGAGTCCTGCCGGCTGCAGTCCACATGCCTTGTTCACCAGCCCATCAGCAAAATGAATGCCCTCACCCTCCCATGCAACTCCCTGGGCATAAACTGTCGCACTCTGAGGGGAAGAAAGCAAATGGCTCGACTAGCGTGACATTTGGGGCTCAGCCAGCAGGGACGGTGGGGGTATTTCTAACACACATGAATCACGGCATCTACTTTCTTACATCAATCTCCCAAAGTGCCAATCCAAGCTTCCCAGCCGGGGATGCCAGGACACCGAAATGCGACTGGTCCCTGCCCACAAGTGACAGGCACCAAACAGCCCACCAGCAGGCCCTCCACCGTGGGCTTCTGCAGCTCAACAAGTGGAAACTCCATTGTCCATTGCTCAGGCGATGGGGCAGCCTCTGTGCACTTGTCCTTCTCAGGCCGCCCCACCCGGAGTGTTTGCAAATCCTCTCTGTGCCGCCTTCGGAACGTAGCCTGAAGCCCACGGCTTCCGTCCGCCCCCCTCGCCGCCCCCCGGGCACCGGGCACAGTCCTCGCTCGCTGGCCCCTGCGACCGTCTACTCCTCTGAAAGACCCCGTCACAATCACAGCCCTTGTCAGCTGGAACTCTCCCACCCCACCATCTCCGGCCACCGCTGTGGCTACGGCTGCGAAACTGGACGATGACAATCACCACCGAGCGTCGGGAGCCACCGGAACACTTGTGCACTGCTGGCAGGGTGGGGGCGAGGGCTGGGACCCAGCGCCACTGCTGCGGAAACCAGGCCGGCACTCTTTCGGAAGGTGAAACGCAGAGTTAACCTATGACCCAGCCACAGAGCCCAGGGAGTGGGAAACACGCTGTTTTTGTTTGTTTGTTGACAGAGATCACAAGTAGGAAGAGAGAAGGGGAAGCAGACTCCCTGCTAAGCAGAGAGCCCAATGCGGGGCTCCATCCCAGGACCCTGAGATCATGACCTAAGCTGAAGGCAGAGGCTTAACCCACTGAGCCCCCCAGGCGCCCCAAAACACACTGTTCTTACAGGAACGGTGTGCGTTATCCATGAGAGTCGAAAAGTGGAACTAACTCAGGTTCACCAAGTGATGAACAAACAAACAAAGTATGCCGTGTCCACACTATGGAAACACTATGTGGCGGGCATCTGGGTAGCTGCTCATTTGGCAAAGCGTCTGCCTTCCGCTCGGGTCACGATCCCAGGGTCCTGGGATCGAGGCCTGCATCAGGCTCCCTGCTCAGCGGAGAGCCTGCTTCTCCCTCTCCCTCTGCTTGTGTTCGCGCTCTCTGTCAAATAAATAAATAAAATCTTAAGAAAAAAAAGAAAAGAAATATTACGTGGCAATCAAGAGGAATGTCGACCTGCTACGTGTTAGAGCATGGGTAATTCTCCACGTGAGGCTGAGCAAAAGCCTCCTGACACAAAAGGCCACGCATCACATGATTCCTTTGAGGGGCAAGGTTCAGAAGAGGCAAATGCACAGAGACAGAAAGCAGATCGCTGGCTGGAGGTTAACAGGCAGCGGGAGAACGAGGGATGGACTGCTAATGGCCATGGTCTTCCTTTCTCGGGGGATGGAAATGCACTGGAACAAGGTCATGGTGATGTTTGCATAAATAGTGAATATACTCATAACCACAGAATTGTATACTTTAAAATGGTAAATGTTTTGTTCCATGAATTGTATCTTAATTAGAAAAAAAGAAAGTCCTCCCCTGTCCAAGACCTCTCTCAGCAATCACCAAAGAGACGCCTTGCCAGCCCTACACCATCTGGACCCTCCATCTGTTCTCCAACCTCTGTGCCCACAGCTCACTCCCCATCAACTACACCAACCACATCCTTACCCCAGGGCCTTTGCACCTGCTGTTCCCGTTATCTGGGAGCAGAACTGCTCAGGGGAGCCCCACAGACCTGCAAAACCACGTGCCATTATATGGTGGTTGTTTTCAGCCACAAAGACTTGGGGTAGTTTGGTACCCGGCGATTGGAAACCAATGCTGTGCCCAGAGAACACCTGTTGCAGGAAAGGAGAGAAGGAGGGAGCGGGGAAGGAAAGAAAAATGAGCAAGGGAAGGAGCGAGAAACAGGGCTACAGCCTGAGGATAGCAGCCCAGACCGCTCTCCAGTCCCACCCCTGCGTGTTGGGCTGTGTGGGCTTAACTACACTCTGACA